CAATATGACCAAAAATACTCTGAACTATGTGCCTGTGTAGCTTGCATAGATATAATCATAAAATATATATGGAGTTTTGAGACGTTCTCTTCAATTTAATTAAATTTTTTCCCTTAAACAACTGTAACATTATCATGGCTTCAAGCTCACACTGAGGCCTGTGGGGCACTATCAGCCACTGAGACAACAGACAAATTTCAGTGTTTTAACATATGAATATTAAATACTTAAGGGCTACTTGTTTAAATAATGGAGGGATCTGCTGCTCCAAATAATCATTTTAAAGGTTTCAGTATCTTTAAACTATATTGATTGACTAGATAAAGTTAATTTTACTCTGTATTACTGTAGAGGTGACTGCATTAACTGATGCAGTTTCTCCTATTGTCCAACATATCACTTGTGTCTTGTTCAGTTACCGAAGTCTGCACATTTTTGCAGCATACATAGTTTTGTGAGTTAAGCACACGAGACACAGAAGTGGTGTTCCAGAATGTTTATTCAACAATTCCCTATACAAAAAGTTTAGGAGGCAGCGGCCTGCACAGCCTGGCCCCTCTGCACAGACACCCTGGTGTGAGTCTTGGCCAGATGGTCAGTGAACTCCTGGAACAAAAAGCAGAAAGCCTGGTTACACAAAATCCTGACATAACCATAACAGCTCATGTTGGCTCTGTACGGACCTGGTAGGGAGACTTTGTGAAGACTGTCTCCTTCCACAGATCAGGGGTCAGGTAGCTGTAAGTCTTGGAGATGGCATCAAAGGTGGCCTTGGCTGAGGAAGGAATTAAAAAGCATGAGTGTGTGTAACATGGAGCTCCAGTAACAAAGTACAACAGTCTTGTTGGGGGTAAAAAAAATGTCGAGCATTGTAAAAGGGTAACAGGGAAGACCACTAAAACGTCTCCCTGCCGTGCAATACTCAATTCTTTCTCTCCTTTTAACGACAACTACACCACTGCCGAGGTGAAGCTGGGCAGAGCGAGGAGAAACAACGCCCCCCCCCCAAAAATACAGTATGCAGATCATGACCCTGGGAGAAGCTTACCAAAGTTGCCGAGGGTGGCGGTGCAGCCTCTGGCAGAGGTGTAGCAATCATCGATTCCAGCCATCATGAGCAGCTTCTTGGGCACAGGGGCAGACACGATGCCGGTACCACGGGGGGCTGGAATGAGACGCACCAGGACAGAGCCGCAGCGGCCAGTCACCTTGCAGGGCACAGTGTGGGGTTTGCCGATTTTGTTACCCCAGTAACCCCTTCTGACAGGGACGATAGACAGCTTGGCCAGGATGATCGCCCCACGGATGGCTGTGGCCACCTCCTTGGAGCACTTCACCCCCAGGCCCACGTGGCCGTTGTAGTCACCAATGGCAACAAAGGCCTGTAGACAAAAAGCAAAAGGAACTTAGTGTTAAGTTTAGACACAATGCTGATTAACAAGAAAAAAAAAAAAAAGGAACAAAAAAAAAAAACTTAAAAAAAAAAAAAAAAAAAAAAAAAAAAAAACCACCCTTCTCCTTTGCAAAGGAATCCACACTCACCTTGAACCTGGTGCGCTGACCAGCCCTGGTCTGCTTCTGGACGGGCATGATCTTCAGCACCTCGTCTTTAAGACCAGAACCCAAGAAGAAGTCGATGATCTCAGACTCCTACAGGAAAAGGAGTAAGCACTGAGGGGTTTACATCACAACACAAACTGCAGTTCATTCAGACATTTCCACAAGACAAGTACACATGTCAGACTCTTCTAAAATGACAAACTCCAACCACAACCCAACATTAACAAATCTTTCATACAAATCTAGCTGCACTGCTTAAAAATGAGCCACAAACTAGTGGCTTTAACCATTTAAGAGAAAGAGCAACAATACACTTCTTTTAAAATAACAGACCACTAGTCATCATTAATAAAATATGATGGTTTATGTATGCTAACTGTAGTTACCTTGATGGGCAGAGAGTACAGATAGATCTCCTCCAGGGACTTGATCTTCATGTCCTTAACCAGGCGGCCCAGCTTGGTGACTGGCACCCACTATCACAGGAAAGAAACTCAAGTAAACTACAAAAAGCCAAAACACTAAATGATTATGTTCAAAATACTTATTAATCCAAAAACCTACCTCCTTGTCCTCGGACTTGCCGCCCCGGGCACCGCGGCCCCTGCCACGGCCTCTGCCGCGTCCACGGCCCCGACCGCGGCCACCGGCGCCAAAACCTCCGCGAAAACCTCCTCTACCACCGGCGTCGTCCGCCATTTGCTACACGACAAGAAAACAACAAAGACGTTTAGTTATTTATCCCCCAAAATACGGACATGCTTACCGAAATTCAGTCTTACGAGACACGAGTATCGCCGCCATATTCATACAAGCAAACTACAAATATTTCCATCTGTATTCAAATTCGCTGTTAAATAGGTCTGGGATTTTAATTTAATATGTTCATATATGATCTTATAATCGGCTCTGAAGTGCCTGACTGAACGATGCGTGAGATTTTTAAGGATATAAACTAGGAAGAGAAACTCAACACCACACTTACGTGATCGATTAAACAGGAAGAAGGCCTGTGAGAGGTTCCGCCGGCTTATATGTGAAAGTGTTATCGCGAGATTTCCTCCACGAGAAAACCTACCCTCTACCGCCTCTACCGAAAAACTGAGACAGATTTGCTTACTAAAAACACAGTTCCTAAAAAAATCAATTATAATAAAATCAAAACGCACTGTTTTAAAATACATTTTAAGTGTTCATTTAATTAATCTGTTTATTCTGTAAACATGCTTTAATTGGTTTTTAATTATCTAGTGAAATGTAATAATAACACATTAGATTAGAATAGAATAGAATAGAATAGAATAGAATAATCCTTTAATTGTCCCACAAGGGGAAATTTGGTTGTATCAGCAGCAAAAAACACACATATACAAAAAAGAACAGGACACAGAACAGAAACAATTTTTACATATTATCCTCATAGACAAAAGTTACCAGAGCAGAGTACAGTACAGTTGTTAAAATTAGAGTACAGATAGTGTGCAAACAGAGCAGGATACTGAAAGATGTTTAAATAGTTAAGAATATTTAGAATAATTAGAAAAGTTTAAAAAAAAATGCAGATTGTGTATTGTACCTGTGCATTAAAAAGTAGACACGTAACTTCCAATAAGTTAGTGTATATATGACCTCAGCCGCCTCAGCAGGTAGAGGCTGGTCTGACCCTTTCTGTACAGAGCATCAGTGTTGTGGCTCCAATCCAGTTTATTATTCAGGTGAACAATCAGGTACCTACACAAGCCCACTATCTCAATGTCCTCTCCCTGGATGTTCACCGGTGTCAGTGTGGTGGGTCTGCGTCTCTGGAAGTCCACCACCAACTCCTTGGTTTTCCCGGCGTTGATCAGCAGGTGTTTCTGCTGGCGCCAGTCCACAAAGTCCAGAGTCGACTGTCTGTACTCTGAGTCATCCTCACCTGTGATGAGGCCGACTATGGCAGAGTCGTCAGAGAACGTCTGTAGGTGGCAGGTGGGGAGTTGATGGAGAAGTCTGCAGTGTAGAAGGTGAAGAGGAACGGTGCCAGCACAGTTCCCTGTGGGGCCCCCGTACTGCAGACCAGCGTATCAGAGACACAGCCCTGTGTCCTCACATACTGTGGGCGTTCTGTGAGGTAGTCCAGTATCCACTGGGACATGTGTTGGTCCACTCCCGATAGCTCCAGCTTGTTCCTCAGAAGTCATGGCTGGATGGTGTTGAAAGCACTGGAGAAATCAAAGAACATGATCCTCACAGTGCTTCCAGGCTTCTCCAGGTGAGCCAGAGCTCGGTGCAGGAGGTGGACCTGCACCGAGACTTATGTAGTCAAATTTAGAAAAACAAGCCTGGCCTTAGTTCATCTGTGAGATTTCAATGAAATACCTTTATCAATTGATCTATTTAAATAAGACCAGCACAGGTAATAATAACAATGTAAAAGCTTTATTTACAAAATAGGTTAAATAGGTTACATTGCAACCTGGCAAAAAACAAAACAAAAACACTAATCAGATGCCTACAGTACCATGAAAAGTATTTTCCCTCATTCCTATATTTCTCACTCTTTTTTTTTCTTTTTTGATATTTGTCACGCTTACATGTTCCGGCTCATCAAACAAATTTTAACATTAATTTCTATATAAACAATAACCTGACCCAGGTTATCGTTTATATAACAATAGGTTATATAAATGATATAAAAATAACCATAACCCAAGTACGCTTAGGCTTCATTTCATGAAATAATGGCAAGACATTCAGGATTTTCCGGCAGAGAGCAGACTTCTTGGTTACATCAATTATTGCAAGTTGTCCAGGTCCTGAAGCAGCAAAAGGGTCACAGACCATCATACTAACACCACCGTATTTGACTGTCAGTATGATCTTTTTATGAAATGCTGTGGTAGGCTCTTGCCAGATGTATCAGGACACAAACCTTCCAAAAAGTTCAACTTTTTTCATTGACCTTAGCTGAAGCAAGTGGGGCCTGCAGTTCTTTAGATGTTGTTCTCGGTCCTTTTATAACCTCTTGAATGAGTCGTCAATCATCTCTTGGAATTCACCACTGTTTTGAGTTTTCTCTGTTTGTCTAAAATGCTTCTCACCGTGGTTCACTGGTGTCCCAAAGCCTCAGAAATGGCTTTGTAACCCTTTCCAGACTGATGCATGTTAGTGACTTTGTTTCTGTTCTTGCAGTTTTTTGTTTGTTTTTTTTAGATTGGAGCCTTTATTTGTGTGAATGCTGAAATTGACCTCAGCTTCACAAAAATGTGGTTAATCACAGTGAATTCATAAATTAACACCAGAAGAATGACTTTTTCATACAGGTCAGGTAGGTTTGGCTTTTTTTTTTTTTTTAAACTCAGAAAATGAGATCATCATTTAAAAACTGCATTTTGTATTCACTCAGGTTATCTTTTTCTAATATTAAAAACGTGTTTGTTTATTGGAAACAAAATATGCAAAAACTATTAAAATCAGGAAGAGGGCAAATACTTTTTCACAGTACTGCATATACTCAAAAACACACACCTTCAAAGAATTAAACACATACTGACTGAATTTATACACAGCAGTAGCTCAACCAGCACCACCAACTAACTCCCTTCCTCAGCAGCTGCTGCTGCTACTTGGAGTCCCACTGGAGCTGCCACTACTCTCCCCAAGGTCCTCCTCTTCCACCTCATGCAGATCGTCCATCACCTCCAGACTCTCACAGATAAGCCCTATCTGCCTTTTCATGTGGGCCATGGTGCTCTGCATCCTCCTCATCTTCCGCTGTAGGGCGGTGGCAATGGCCCTGTGATTCCTCTGCCTAGCTTCGTACTCCTGCCTCAGCTGCTTGTAGCAGTTGTGTTGAGCCTGGGTTCGATGGGAGAGTATCGTCCCACAACCCATGTGGCAAGGCTGGCGCCAGTGCTCACAGTGGTGCGCATGGGTCTCGAGGTCCCTGCGGAGGAGCTGTACCCTGCAGCCCTGGTAGGGGCAGGGGATTAGCTCATACAAACAGCTCATGCTGTGGCAGTACTGCTCTGAGAGGGGAAAGGTCTCTGCACAGCCGCGGATCTCATTCTTGCACTGTGAGACACACAGAACAAATCATATAGTTAATAAAATGACTTGTGTTATAAATGTGCTATAAATCAGTCTGCAGGAATTGAGATAGAAGCTAATCCAAGCCATAGACGACTGAAAACAAAACAATTCTAATGCACAACCTAATCATTTCAGTCATTTATCAAGCAAAAATGTCAAACATCCAGTGGCTTTAGCTTGGATTTATATTTTTTGCTTTCCTCCATCTCAAATAAGTCATCTTGGGCTCAGAGAATTTGTCTTGATGGTGTCCTTATTATTAATAACTTAATAAAAACAGTCACAAATAAATCTGTTATTAATTTTAAAAAGTATTCATTAGGTGCTGCCAAACCTTAAAGAGATCAAAGTGACATTATAGAATATGTCCCATGAAGTGGTTCACACATGAAAATGCCAGGCAGCATCAGGCAAATACAAATGTATCCACTCTGTTAGGGCTCATAAAAAATCATGTAAAAATGTGTTCAAATTCCCTTTCCTACCTTGATCTTCAGGCGTCCAATAGATTTGCTCAGCTTGAACATGACAAAGATCAAGCTTGGGTTCACCGGCTTCCTGCAGCAGGGGCAGGTCTCCTGTCTGCAAAGGACAACTAGGAATGAGTCTCTGACCAAATAAAAAAGCCAGGTAAAACTTTTGTCCAAGGATACTGATAAGATACATTCAGTACCTTTTTAGCCACTGCAAGATGCATTTCTTGCAGAAGATGTGGTGGCACGCAGCTCTTACTGGACATCTGAGGACCCCTTGGCATATGGTGCAGATCAGATCATAGTCTGGAGTGTCCACAAACAGCTCCACATCATAACCCCCGCTCTGTGTTGACACCTCTGGGTCTGCCTAGATGTGGCCACAGTGTGTAGAAAAAACAGTATCTTATATTTCAGATATAGCTGAGACTGAAAACCATGGATCTGTGACTGTCTATAACCTCTCCACAGTATTCTCAAAATAAAAAAAGAGAGACAACAAAACAGAGCTGTTCTGGAAAGCCATATGACTGATCACATGATTACAACAAGTAAGTCTGCTCCCTTTCCAAAAATCTTTTTTTCTAACACACAAAACATTAAACAATCACAAAAAAAGATCTGAAATTATCCTCAGTGGTATTTTTACTTTGTTAAAGTACAACATATAATAAAAATGCCACAATACTCATGTATTAGTATACAATTCAAATACCAAGCAAATAATAGAGTTGATTCAAGCTATATACACAATCTGTTTTTGACCTACTGAGCATCAGTCCATAAATCTGAGATGCTAAATCTAGATTAAAATACAAACAATTAAACAAATAAATAAATATAAAACACACGCCAAAACAAAAAGCTGCCCTCTACTCACCATGGCAATCTCCTGTTTTATTTTTCTAGCGTGTTTCCATAACCCGGGGGGCTGGTTTTACTGCATATCGATCCTCTCATATGTCACACAAGTAACACACACCCGCGTTATCAATACAACACACGTGAACATTCCTGACTAAACAACGAAGGAGGGACCGCGTGTGTGCGCGCGCGCACGACAGATGAAAACAGTGGGCTAAACTGTAGAATCGGAGCCATAATGGGAGAGCGTCGTTTCCCTGCTGTTCTAGCACCAAACTCATGGTTCACACGGCTGCTATTGTTGTGATACTCAGGAACTACATTATAAATAAATAAATAAATAAATAAAGTATAAGCATATAGATTTGATTATTTTCCCTTGCTTTATATAAAGTTTACTGTCAAATTAAAAGTTTAAAAACCACCAGTTTTTTTGTTTGTGCGTTCATTTGTTGACAACAGAAGTCTGACCAATCACCGCGCCGTGCGCTCAGATGACGTGCAACGTGTGCGACCCTGCCGTCAACATGCGGGATGGACGGCGGTGTTGACTGTAGCCAACGTGTGACATGAGAAATAAGTAGTATACGCCGCCTGTACTCTCTACATCACTTCTTTTTGGGGCATTTCTCACGGGCAAGATGGCAAATACCAACCTTCAGTTCAAAACCAAGTGAGTTTTACTTGCTGCACGTGTGAGCTGGAGATCATGTAGCAAGCTAACACGAGCTAGGCTAAGTTGTTATATGAAGTTGTTGAATTCACTGTTGCCGTTTTCTTGTTCCTTTACAGTTATGCTGTTTCCAACAAGATCGAGCCATTTTACAAAGGGGGAAAAGTGCAGGTGGGTGCTCGGCTTTGATGTGTGTGTGTCTCTGTGTGTGAAGCTTCTATTAATGTCTTTTGTGACACTTTAGACACTTTTGTAACAATGCGCTGGTATAAAGTTGAGCGAATTGCACAAGGTATACAGGAAGTGCAGCAAAATCAAGAAAGTCCTGACTTTGTTTCTTGATAATCATGACAAACAGATGTTTTCAGAGTCTCACACATCTGTTTTAAGTCTGTATGACAATAACCAAGATATGACCTCTCCCCTTTTGTTTCAGATCAGCAAAGATGAGAAATACATCTTTTGCACCTGTGGCTCTCGAGTCAATGTTTTGGAGATCAGCACTGGCAAGATCATTCACTGTGTTGAGCATGTGAGTTCAGCATCTAACATCAGGGGTGGGCAGTTCATTTTTACCAGAGGGCCACATGAGAACCTGTGTCTGTTGTGGAGGGCTGCGCCAAAAAAGTTGAACTGACTTCAGCTTGGCATTTCTTTCATTTTGTATAAACTGCTCCCAGTAAAAGTAGATGTTACAATGAGGCAATAATGATGAGAATTAGGTTAACTAAAAGCACGGACATTTTGTCACTGTTTATTCAACATCCCCAGAGATGGCTGTGAACAAAATGTGCATGTTTTTTCAACATTTAAAAGACTTTAAACTTGCAGCTGTAGTTTAATAACTTCATCTGCATTTGTTGATTTCTTGTTGAGTGATGGAAATCTAGTTTTGTTTTGGACTTGAACAAGTGCATTACAGTCAAGTTCTGTGTCCAAGGTTGAAATGTGAAGGGCAGCAGACAGGTGATCTCAGCAGACAGAGCATCATCTGGATTTGTTAAACTTCCATCATTCAGAATTTATGTTCACAGTGTGATTCAGCTCTTTTGCTTTGAGGAAGTTAACTATTTTAGTTATATCTACAACATGGTTAATTTGTAGCTGTGACTTATACAACACCTCCTGGTGTCTGACTCAGTGCAAAAATACCAATTTCAGTCACTCTTTTCCTTCACCTGTCATTGTTCCTGTCACATTTAGATAGCCATCGGTTGTAATACCTGCCAGTTTGTCCCATAGCAGAAACACCCTATGCGTGCAGTTACCTCCATGAAGAAATCACTCCCTGTCTTAGTGCCTTTAAGTGAGCGCTTTGCTGGCAAGCTGCTCTGTAATATACAAAGAAGACTAACCAGGTTGTGTCGCAGACATCCCAGCAATCCACCAGAGCCAAAGAGATAAAGTCCAAATTGTCAGCTTACCTTTTTAACTGAAAAATTAAGATTTTCCTCAGTGTCCTCAATCCCTCTTGTTACAGTTTACCTCTCCAGGTAAACTGTAACAAGAGGGATCTCAAATGCTTCTTTTTATCTCAGCGCATATTAGCACAGCAGTGCACCAAACACTATTTCATAAACTCCCAGTCAGAGAATGAGATACTGTGTTTTGGGGGTGTTTTTTTTTGTTGTTGTTGTTGTTGTTGTTTTTGCGATTTTGTGAACCACAAAGCATCTTTACTGTCTTTATATCAACAACCTCATTCTAACTATTGCCATTGGTGATTTATCAGTCTTCTTTCTTTTTGTGAATAAAATGTACTTCCATGTTTCCTGTCTGAATATTTTGTTGTTGTTGTTTTGTCTCCTGTAGGATGATCAAGAGGACATCACGGCATTTGCTCTCAGCTGTGATGATGAGGTACAGAAATGCCTAAGTCACTTCTCATTAGATCAGTCACATTTGTGTTTTCAGTATTTTCAGCTGTCACCCTGTACAACAGGACTCATTTGGACTTTACTTCATGTCTCTCCACAGATGCTGGTAACAGCCAGCCGGGCGCTGCTGCTTAAGCAGTGGGATTGGAGGCAGGCTAACTGCACTCGGTCCTGGAGGGCTATTCACACTGTTCCCGTAGCTACTATGACCTTTGACTCCACCTCTACTCTGCTAGCCACAGGTCAGCTACCACATGATTTATT